TTTTTCCAGGGGGAGGGTGGAACTGAGGGAAAGAGTTAAAGAGGGCTTAATAAAAGAATGGCAGAGAGGATGGGAAAAGGAAATCACGGGTAGACATTATTTTTCTATTCAACCTAAAGTTAGGAAAATATGTTTTTGTACTTGCCCATCCCGTAGGGACTCAGTTAAACTGTGTAGATTGAGGTTGGGGCACTGTGGGTTAAATTACAGCATATTTCTGGATTATGTTAATGTGGGAATATGGAAACAGTAGGGCATGCTTTCTTGGAATGTAGGAAGTATAATGTAGATAGAAAAGCACTTTTTGATAAATTGGCAGAACTTGGAGTTAAAGTGTTTTCTGTTACTTCTTTGTTTGGACACAGTGATAAGCATAAACTGATCTCTGGGTCAGTTCTTCAGTTCTTGCATAATACAGGACTGTATATAAGAATTTAGTTCAAACTTTGACCTGTGGAGGGCAGTAATACGCCCAGTAGTGTCTACACTGCCGGAAAGATATAAGAAGAAGAAAAAGAAGGGTTTGTTTCTGGTGGGACACTCATTAGTGGCGGACTCTAGGTGCTTGCTCAGCTTGTTTTAAAGGGGTCATATGATGTTGCTAAAAAGAACATTATTTGGTCGTTTATGGTAAATATCTTTCAGCGCTATATCCTCTAGTATTTTTATCAAAAGCCAAACGCGCTTAGCTCTGTGCGCTTTCTCTCTCTCCCTCTCCGGTTGCGCGCCGGTGCCAAGTTCAAGAGCTGCGGATGACGCGGTTATTTTAACAACAACAGAAAAAACAAAAAAAAAAAAGGGAGACACATACAAAGGGTAAGTGGGCCGTGTGGGTGGGCCGGGTCCCTGGCCTGGGCTGCACTACACGTCTCACCTTTTTAATGCATCACAAATTAGCTGAGACATATACACATCTATACATTAAAAAACATATGTAAATAAATAAATAACAGACATCTGAGACAAGCGTGGCATGCTGGTAGTGGCCATGGATGGCTGGTGTTTTGGGGGATGGGGGGAGAGCTTTGGGCCCTGTTGCCCCGCAGCATCTTTCCAAGGCACTCCCGCTGTGGCGTGACATGGGCTTGGGATTAAGCTATGATATGTTGTTGCGACGGAGGGATCAGGGACAACCCTAATAATTTATTAAATATTTATTAATTTATAATTTATTACTATTATTAATAATATCTTTACTATTACTTGCATCCTTCCCTTTCCTCCACCCTTTCCTAATCTTAATGAAATCCTTATTATTAAATTTATTTTTGTTGTTATAGTTATCTTTGTCATCATTATCGCTTACAATACTTGTTGTCTCCACTTGTCTTGTCATTATTATTTATTTAAAAAAAAATTTTTTTTGTAGTTATAGTTGTTATATCTGTTATAAATCTTTTAGATACTCAATGATTTGTATGCTTCCTCCCACACACTTACATATACAGGAGTTATCAGAATGATCTTGAAATGTCAGCTATCTGGATATATGTTCGTTTGTCCAAGTGATTCTGTATTTGGCACTTGTAAATATTGTCACATTCCTTACTTGCATAATAAAAAATAAAAAAAAAGAAAGGAAAAATTTAAATCGCATCATATGACCCCTTTACTTGCATAATAAAAAATAAAAAAAAAGAAAGGAAAAATTTAAATCGCATCATATGACCCCTTTAATCTAATAAATTTTGGCTGCTTTTGTAAACCGAATTAATCATTAAAGTCATGTTTGCATCTATTTTTTTGTAAAGTTATGTACAGTAATTAACAGCAATGTTTTTGTCGTTTAATTGTATTCCTATTTTGCCATGACTTTACTTGAGAGGGCCCATAATAATTAATTTATTATTAACTATTCATTCACTAACATCTACTCATTGCTTGTTAATGCATTATTTTGACATGACTTTACTTGAGGGCGCCCAATCATAATTAATTAACTTTTAATTACTTACTAAACTCAGCTCATGATTTATTTTATACTTTCTATCAAATACACATACTAACACAGTGAGTATTGAGCCCGATTAAGAGATGTGGTGTGGCTTTTCAAGAAGTCAGAGGGTGGAGGTACAGGATCATCACGGCCTGCATCTGGATGGAGAGTGAACTGTACTGACACTCAGCAAACGTTCTGACCTTACCTACATGTTTCTAGTTTGGCCATTTCTTTTGGAATCATTCTACAAATATGCTTTGTGGGTTTTGAGTTTTTATTTATTTATTTAGCTGCATATAAGTCGCAGTAGGGTGAATTTAAAGGGAAAGAGAACAACACAAAACAGACAAGATCAGTTATTAGTGTATTTAGTATTTTCTATGCTTGACGAGGAGGATCAACTAATCCTTCGCCACTCAGTAATGATTATGACAATGCTGAAGATGTCAAAAGCTCAGATTATGATATTAAATTATTTAAATTCATTTCAAAGTCAGAGTATTTGTTATTCCTGTTTAAAGAGGCTGTTTGATTTAGTTTACCCATAAATGTTAATTAATGCATTAACTATCAAACATGTACTAACATTAAGGCTGCCGGTATTCATGTGTGAATCCATATGACTCCAGTTGTAGTTAAGGATAGCTCTTCACTAGTTCATGATTAGTTAACACCTTTAATAATCATTAGTATATGATGAATTAAGTATTAATTTAGGAATTAGTAGATGATTATTCATGTACCCTTATTGTAAAGTGTTACCAATATATCTGTGTTGAACAGCAGCTGCATAACAAAAATAATGGCATATGGGAGTAACTGTTTCTCAGTGATGGTTGCTTTGACCCATTCCTTCATACTTTCATTCTTTATTCGTTCTGTTATAGGGTTATGTCAAGATGGACCAAACAATACGTGATAAGCTCTCACAACTGGTTGAGAAGTTGACTACCTCTGGAGAACCACAGTTAAATCAAGACAAAATGAAGGAAGTGAAGAAAATATGCAAGTATGTTTAGTAGGTTGTTGATTTCTTCACACACAGTAAGTAAAAAACAACAACAACAACAATGTGGACCAAACTGTGAGTGATGTGAATAGATTAGAACATTCAGGAAACGATTTGATAGCAACAGGAAAACTCTTCTTTAAGGGCATCTTTATTTGCTTAGTGAGTGTTTTTGCCCCATTTGCGGTCACTGCATTAGCAAAAGGTCCATTGAACCAATTAACCCCTAGAGCCCATTGAACTTTACCTTGAAGACTTGTAGTGAACTTATTGACAACTTGAGCCAGTAACAGTCTTTTGTTTAACCATCATGCATTTTGTGCTTGCAGATGGTGAGGCAAAAAAAAAAAAGATTCCGTAAATTCTGATTTCAGACAGCCATGCCATGGTCACCAAAGCTTTTGCCACCTCTGCCCAAAGTGTGCTTATAATCTCATTATCTAGTCACAGAATGAGGAAACTGGTCTTACCCAGTGTTTATTTATCAATGTTGTCAGTTATGAAGCCTAATCAAAGTCCATTTCGGGATTTGCCAAGTAAGCATAAATCTGTATTTGCTCATGTGCCTGTGTGTTTGTTTTTGTGGCTACAGAGCAGCACTGGACTTATGACTTTACGCTCCTTTTTAAGTTGTATTTCTTCCTTATTTTATGACCACAGAGTTTCCACTGACTATGTCGATAATTTCTACAACTTGATTATGACCCAGCTGAACCAAGAGCATGCAGAGATCCGTCTCTCTGCCTTCCAAATGGTCAATGAGATTTTCAGCCGGTCGCATCACTTCAGAGGTCTTCTCATCACAATCTTTCAGGAGTTCCTGGAACTTACAGTAGAAACAGACACTGAGCAACCGTTGCCTCCACCCAAAGAGGTGGTGAGAAAACTAAGGACACTTGCCATTCAGACTGTGCAGTCATGGCACGCCACGTATGGAGAGGCGTACAAGAAACTGTCTCTGGGATATCACTTTCTTAAGCAGATTGATGCCATCAGTTTGCACCCTGGGACATGTCACTTTTGTTATGTAATTATATAAAGACTGTTATGGAAAATATATTGTGTTCTAGCTAAATTTAGCTGTGTAATCAAATGTGAATGAATCGAGCAATTGATAAAACATTTTTTTTATTGTGTATCATTGTATTTTCCAATATTATGTTCAAACTGTTTATTATTTGCATATGGTTTTTATGCACTTGATGTTATGGGCGGTTTTAATTTTGATTATAATTTGTCATTATCATAGTGAAATGTCTCCCTAAAGGGATAGTTCACCCAAAAATTAAAAGTTCTCTGTCATCATTTACTCACCCTCAAGTTGTTCCAAACCTGTATGAATTTCTTTATCTACTTAACACAAACGAATATATTTTGAAGAATAAGGGTAACCAAATAGTTGCTGGTTTCCATTGATTTCTGTTGTATGGAAAAAATACTATGCAAGTCAGTGGGGACCAGAAACTCTTTGGTAACCCACAAACAGATTATTCATTTTTGTGTGAACTATCCCTTTAAGAAAAGCATTGTTTCTTTTTTAGGTAGATTTTCATGATGTTGAAGCAAGAACACTGGCTGAGAGAAAAATACAAAAGGAGAAACAGAAGAGACTGGAAAGAATTTACAAAGAGAAGCTTGAAAAGGCCAAACAGGAAATGGAGGGTAAACACCTTTATGTTCACAAACTGTAACTCCATTGAAGAAAATGAAAGAGAATTAACAAAATAAATAAAAATAAAAATAAAAGTAAAATCATTTTACACTAAAATCAGTTGTCTTCACTAAAATCAAGTAATTTGATTATACCTTGATATATTTACTCACATATTTTTATTTTATATAAATGTAATTTTTATCGTCGTTATGTCATGTCTCCTCTAAACTTGAAGGCCTAGCAATGTGGCAAACAGGCCAATAATGCAGTCATGGAGCCAATTGTGTGCAAGTGCACTATAGACCAATTATAGGTTTGTAAACATTCAGGATGCGCGCGCATCATTGTTGCAGAAAACCCAGGAGAGATAGCCTTTATGGCTAGAGAATTTCACGGATAGTGTACAAAATAGTTAGGTTTAAAAAGATTATAAAGATGACGTTTGTTGTGGGCGGAGCCTATCTGGAGGCAGAAAATGACGGTTTTCAAGCAGCAGTCTCCATGGCTCCCATGGAATAAAAGAATAAAAAAGGTAAATTTGATTTTATAAAAAGTAGAGTAATCATTTTCATCCATAGTATGTCCATTTAAACGTCTGCGTTTAGCTTCAAATGGCGTCTTTGACGATAGTATTCTATAAAAATTAGTTGCATTCCGATCTTGACATCAAAAGGCACAATTTTTTTTTTCTTTTATTCCATGGATTTTACCCATTTATCTCCACTTGTTCCCAGTGTTTTTCTGCAAACCACTATGCGCGCGCAGCTGCAAGTGACGTAACTGTGACGTCTACTCTAAATTGGTCTATTGGCTTTTTTTTTTCAGAAAAGTTGTCAAATTACTGAATAAGAACATTACATTTCTCAAAGTGGAACTGCTGATCTATAATGAAAAACTGGGTTGCAGATGACATCATAAAATAGACACCACTGGATTGCTATGTTTATATTTCTACAACGCAGTTTGCATCGTGCTCTTCCGTCACTTGATCTTTTTATTTTGGTGTGTCAATCTGTTAAGTTACTTAGTATAGGAGATCATGATCCACAATCACGAGAACAGTCTTCTTTTTACGTTTTATTTTACATTCATCACTGATGGGAAAAGACTTTCCCATAGGAAAAGAACAGGGTGCACCAAGCTCAAACCGGTGTGCACCGTTTTGCTACGGTTTCCGGCTTGAACGACATGTTTCCTGGAAACGGTGTGCAACGGGGTTTGAGATGCGTATTCTTTTGTTTGGTGGGTGTGTCAAACATGTCAGCCCAATCAGCAGCAACATGTATATAAACCACGCGGTATTAAAGAGACAACTGGCACAATGTAATTAACATGCAAATAAATTCACAAGGGCAAGAATATTGTTTGCACATGTTTATTTACATTAAAGGCAAAATAACTGAAATAATAAGGGCACAAGTATAGATCTGGAACTTCTTTAAGTCTGTCTAAATATAATTTAGTAATTGTAATGTCTTCTGGTCCATATCCTTTCCTTAGGAAGGTGTGCTAGACACTGATTAATGTAACATAAAAATACTATACATATTTATATATTTTGCTGTTGTATTATGGAGTGACACTTTCATAAACTTTTCTATACTGCTCTGATTATATAATGGTAAATATTACAATATCATAGCACAACAACAGTGATCAGCAATAATGATAAGCCTAATATTCACAATAAAAATAATAAGGTCATATAGATCTTGGAGATAAGAAGTGGATTATCCTTCTCCTGAAATGTTTGTCTTTTCATCCTGAAATGCGAGGCAAATGTTTGATCACAATAATTAGGAACCACAGTTTCCACAAATCCCTTCATTTGATTGGGATGTTCTCTTTTATTCTGGAGGGCAAGGGCAGTGACTGTACCATCGAGCGTATTTTGCAGTATTAAACACGTATTTATACCGATTTCATCAGGCTCCGAAAATTCTTCAAAAAGAACACAAAGAATGGCCTTCTCAGCTGCCATAGTTGCAACTTTTGCGTCATCAGAACAGGGTGTTCAACGCACCACCGTTTCCGTTTAAAAAACGTTTTGCACCGTTTTTGTTGGGGCTGAACGCAGCACTGGTCTTTTCCCATCAGTGATTAATGTCAAATAAAACGTAAAAAGAAGACTGTTCTCGTGAGTGCGGATCATGCTTATATTTCCACATATTCTTTATAGGACATCATCTGATTACCCATCCAATCTCTGTTTTTATATCTGAAGTCAGCCTACATTATACAGCAGAATTTCTACACATTTTTTTTATTTAGATACTGGAATTACTGCTTATTGAAAATGGGAGTGAGTTATGTTCACCTTTAATTATAGTTCTCTATACTTCTTCTTAATTATAGTATTGAAAATCAGATCAGCTGACGTACAAGGCACCTACACATATTTATTAAATGCCATTGCGTTCATTCTGGAAACAGGTTTATGTATTTATGAGAGCAATTTATTATTACAGGCTTGTAATATAGTATTTGTTGTACCACTTTTTGAAATTAAATCACTTTCAGCTAATAATCCTAGATATAATGCAGTATACAGTATAGGCACACCTATCTCAACAATGTCTGTATAGCTTATCCTGTGTAAATTGGCAATAATCATTACTGACATCCACAGTAACAAGTACTTTACAGACATTTTGTCCTGAAAACTTACTCAGTCTGACTGATACCTTCAAGATATCGTCTTTTAGTCATTGACACCCTGTTTGCATACACAATGTGGCTACACACATGTCCCATAAGCAATCCAGTCATTTGTATGCAGAAAGTGGAACTAATTCTAAATTGCTGTGGTTAAAATGCACAGATAGAAAATTTTTTTTAACAATTTGCGTGTAAAGCTTGCGTAATTGTGAAATTCCTAGATTTGTATTGCTGTAAGAGTAAGTTTACAATAAAGTATTTTAAGTTTTTTACAGCATGTTTAAGATTTCAAAGCTCCACCAAGAATCAACATTTCCTGAGAAACTATGTTAAGTAAATACTTTATATGCTGGTTAAACACTGAGTGATAGCTCCCAGGGCATACTGTAAATTAAATGAACAATATCCTGGAATAGTTAATCTTAGATATAATACTGTAAAAATAAATCAACAGCCTAAATATTTACCTCAATAAATCAATCATTTTAATTCATAACCTCTTGACTACAAAAGCCTTGTCTGAAGCGGTTAATGAATTGCTAGACTATTCTTTAAGACTTGGGAAAAGTAAAAGGTGGCAATACATTTACAGGATGTGGGTGAAATAGTATAGTTGCAGTTTGTTTTTAACAATCACTTTGGCGCTAATATTAGAACATTGATGTAATTTTTCAAAACTCTTAGCTCAAAACTCCTAGCACCTTTTTAAGTTGCTTGGATGCAATACAAATAAACATAAGTTCATTTGTTCAGTGAACTAAAATCACCTCTTCAAAATCTTGTAATTATTATTTTTTTTTAAATATCTAGAAAACACAAATAGCATTTAACAATCTTGTTTAAAAAGAGTGACAAGTTCTTGTTCAAGTCTTGTTCTGTTTAAAAATGTCATTAAGTGCCATTAATCCATAGTTAAAAATAAGAAAAAGTGTGCCCATCCATTTCTATCCATGCTAAAATGCTTGTTTTGATCTCTCTTTCATTAAGAAATGACGACTGAGATTGAGGAAACCTTGACTGAGATGAACAACTGCATAAAACTGCTTGCAACCGATGACTTAAACCTGTTTAACGAGGAAGCAGCAGTTGCTAAAACCTCTGCGGGAGCTGAGAACATATCTGACCAACCCTGCTGCAGTAAAGACCTGAGCAATGAGCAGAACGGAAAGATGACCGAGAAGACAAATGATGAAAACAGACAAGTGTAGTGACGAGAGTGACACAGAGGAAGTTCCTGATGAGGACGCGTTTCTCCGCAGCACTGGTTTAATGTCTTATAGATATCAGCTGGAGCTCAATGTGTCCACAGGTGTATCTGACTGATCGTGTTCACAGCTATTCTCATGATACGTATCCTCTGTCATGTCAAAGCATGGCATGGAATTTGGAGTTCAAATCGGGACATTTTGTGAATAACCATTTGAATCATGTCTGCAGATTTAAAATTGAGGGAGACGGAGGAGAATGAAGCCATAGTAAACACTGTGAGGGATCTTCATAGACTCATCACAACCAGACACCTGCCTCTTGTGCAGTCCTGGATCCAGGTAAACCCTTTGACCTCTGAAAGGAATCATTCATTCCCAAATGAAAAACCTGTCATTGATTATTCAAAAATAGATGTTTAGCACAATGTCCAAGCTGCTCTTTTCCACAAAAATCCATATTTGAAACTTTATATAAACCATAATCTTTTACAGCGACCTGTAAAATGTGTCTTTTACAGGTCTTTACAAAGGTAGGTGTTGAGGAAGAACTGATGAGGAAAGCCACTGAGTTAAAGAAATCACTGGAGTATGCCTTGAGAAAACACGAGTGTCTTCATATAGATTACAAAAACAGAGAAAGAAGAGTGGTGAGTTTGTTTTTTCAAACAGATGTAGGCTTACACTTTTTTTGCACTGATTTCAGTTAAACAGTAAGGAGAGTACTACATGCTCACATCCTGTTGTTTCTGTTATAACTGAGTGCTTTCTTAAATTTGAAGCATCTGTTGTGTTGTGAAGGTGAAAATGTGAGTTGACTGACAACTATTTTTATTTTTGATGTGCTGCCTGCGCGGGCAGGATTTTCCAGGATTGTTCCAGGATTTTACAATGACAAATATCATGTGTGAATTTGTTTTGTGAATTGTATTCAATATATTTAACTTTTCACAGTTACATCAAAGCCAGATCGTAATGTTTCTGGTGTTTAAATCATCTTTTGTTTTTAACAATATGTTTACATAACAATGATTATTATTAGTATATAATATTAATAGTTATTATATAATACATTAATTTATATATCAATGAATTTCCATTGATTCATGACTGATTTTTCTGTGTTGAGTGAGTAAGGTATAGTATACTGTATGTATAAATACAGTATGTAGCATGCTGTAAGCAGTAGTGATCATCACAGTAATTCAGCAGTGCAAATTCCATCTGGAATAACTTCAGTAATGCATTATCCCCAGAGGAGGGCGCTCTTTCCCCACACATTACATTCTGGAATTTTGTCAAATAGTGTGCTGGAAAATGTTTGCTTGTCAAAAGATGTCCACATGTAACACATGACGAGGGTGTTGAGAATATTTGTGTAGTGTGGACATTTTTAGATTACACTGTTTATTGTATGGTCAAACTCTTAAGACGTGCATCTTTGCATTGATACTGGGAGTTTTTCTACGGGGAGGCACAGCTCATTTGCTAATGGAGATTTGCTCACTCTAGGGTGGAATGGGACACAGCAAGCAGTTAGGAGATACCCATTATGACACATGTTATCCATTTTTAACTGGGTGAAAAGAACAGACAGGGTAGAGAAAAAGGAGGGGTTTGACATTGACAAAGCACTTGACTGCACGCCAGAGAGGTTTATCACTCTCAGTGACGATTTTCAATGCAAAAAGTCAGTGCTTTGAGATAAAGCAACAACTAAAAGGCCTTTATCATAATTAGTTTTTCCTTTTCCCCCTAAAAGCATTCCATTACTTTATTCCCTGTGTCATTGCTATGACATGGGTGGAATTGCTTTCAGCTTAAACTCCTACTGATTGAAGAACAGAAAAAGGTGTAAAATGACTATTTATAATTTTTCTGTGTGCCTTTATCACATGATAATGAGTTTTAGATTAAAAAAAAAAACTCCAATAGCTTGGAAATGTAAATATATTATAAGGAAAAATTAATTACTAAAGTATACCAAAATATCAGTTATTTGCATAAATAGCACACCATATTTTTCCTCATGTAAGATCCTTGTGTGGATTTGTGGCTGAGGTCTGAGGTTCCTTATGCACAAAATATGTAAGGAAAAAACATTTATAGGGCCAGGGGAGAATATACATTATTTACTGTGATAAGGCAACTTAATGGTTTGGCCTGAAGGTGCAATAATTGAGAACAATAATATCTATTTAGTTTCTTTTTCTTTGGCAAACAAAAGATAAATATGTTATATCTAAATCTCATATACAGTGATTTAAAGTAAATACCGCTTAAAAATGTATGAATGTTGTTGTGATAAATAACATTTTAAAGCATGTTTTTTTTGTGTGGAAAAAATAACAATATATATCGGTCAGTATGAAGACAAAGTATATTGTGACACTTTGTGGTTGTGAAATGTGGATCATGTTGATTGTTATTGTGATCCTCTAAACCTGCGATTATACTGCTAGGAAATCTGCGTGAACTTGAGGAGAACTGACTTTGTATATCCAATAAAAATAACTTTAACAGCAGCTGGTTAAAAGACCTACAGCTCCTGCGGCATTTGAGATGACACTTGCTTAGATGTGCTGTGATCTAATGCAATGACAGCCGTGCATTTAACTCTGAATTAAGTGATCAAATTCATTTGTGGGGGTCACTAGCTCACAGTGTGTTCTTCGACATGAAAGAACTGATACCTTTTGGTTACTCACAATTACAGTTAAATGTTGGTCAATATTTGTTTTCGGCAGACAAAACTATTTAATTAATAAATGTACTCTGAAAAACATTTACTGTAGGATTTGCTTTTTAAACAATTTGGACAAAAATTTTTTTTTTTAAAAGTGACGTGACCAAGTATGGGGACCCATACTCGGAATTAGTGCTCTGCATTTATCCCATCCAAAGTGCACACACACAGCAGTGAACACACACACCTGGAGCAGTGGGCAGCTCCAGGTAATTTTTTTGGCTGCGGCGCCCGGGGAGCAGTTGGGGGTTCGGTGCCTTGCTCAAGGGCACCTCAGTCGTGGTATTGAAGGTGGGAGAGAGCGCTGTACATTCACTCCCCCCACCTACAATCCCTGCCGGTATGAGACTCGAACCCGCAACCTTTGGGTTACGAGTCCGACTCTCTAACCATTAGGCCACGACTTCCCCAAATAATTTAACAAATAATTACAAACAAATGGCAAGTAACGCATTGAATTAAGTGTAAAATTTTGAAGCAGAAAGACTGAAATAGTATTTTATATCATACTTAAGTAATCTTTGTTTTATTACAAATTTTTTTTTACAGTGAACCTATTCAATAAATAGATAGATTGAAAGAAAGTGTGAATAGGGTGAATTGGGGTAAATTAGAACACTTTTGCCATTGAGATGACTGGGAAAAATGTCTCAATTATCCTGAAATAACCCTGTGTGTGTGTGTGTGTGTGTGTGTGTGTTTGTATGTATGTATATGTGTGTGAGCTTTCAAATTGAGATATGACAGGAAACTTCACGGGAGTCTCTCTCCAGGCTGCCTAGAACGTGTTCTCGTGACAAAACGCATTTCATTCTGTTCTGCAGTCAGCTAGCCTGCTAGTCCATACACCTGAGTTATTGGTTTGCCGTAATAATTTGCAAGACCTTCCCCGTAAGAGAGGAGATTAGCATATAAATAGCAGATGCACAGAGGACCATCACAGCTGAGTACATTTAATTTTTGGTTTATAAGATTGAATGAGTTTTTAAACGCATAGCCATCAAACTTGGCCAAAGACAAATGAAGTGTAGGGCTCAGTTGTCCGAGGCTACCTCCTCAGCTCATTTTTTAAAAGGATAACAGACCTGCTTAAGGAGTGTGCCTGGCCGACGCTTCCCTGGGCACAAAGTAATTGAGATTGCTTACAGAGTTAATTAGACCGTACAAAATATATTGGAGGGCGCGAGGAGCACTGCTGGAATGTGTTTTTCCCCATAAGTGGGGGACATTTAACCGGAAACTCATTATCTTATCCTCTCAGGGTAGAGGCCAGGGGCCACTGCATGATCAATAGAGTTCACTGCGAATGTCTGCCAGTAGTCCACTCGTGGGAGCACATCGTCTAAATATTCAACATCACTCTTATATGTCCATGTCTGCTGATGAAACAAATCATGGAGGCTAGCGGCATGTGTTGTTTTAAGTATCATTGAGATACTATCATAGTTTTCATTAATATTTTGAATTTATGTCAGTTAACATTTTATTTTTATTTTAAGTAACAAAATTATAAAAATTTTTTTTTTTTGATTTTATTAGATATTAGATTTAGTTTTTGTTATAATATCATAACCCTGGTTAGAGGGACAATATCTCAGCATTTTATAAACAAAAAATGCACAAAATGAAGCGTTTTTCATTAGATTATAATTACTAATACACATTTAATAAAATAAAATTAGAAGATTATTAGTAGATAATTGTCTTATTATTTTAATTAATTTAAATGTTTATACTCATTTTTATTACTTAGAAATTAATCTAATATAAATGTTCATTTTACATAAATATATAACTTATTAAAATGACTGTTGTATGATTATTACCTATAGACACTTTTCAAGTGATATTTCAACTTTTCAATCATTATAGGGGCTGATATTGTATTGTGAACTGTAAAAGAATCAAATTCTCTACATAAGTGGTATTATTTTCTGGAAACATTCCTGGGCTACTTTACATTGTCAGGAGTTTAGTTTTCCTTGAGACACTTGGAGGTGTTCTTCACATGTCAGCAACACCTGCGTCAGCAAAAACCCTTATGGAGACTCATTCTCAGTATCTACACACTCCAGTCAGAGAATTATAATACTGCCTTTACAAGTTGACAGTGCTGATTTTATCACAAAAGAATTAAAGTGATTTAAACATAACAGTTTTTGGTCTGCAATGTCTATTGTGCCAGTATTTTAAACTGCACTTTAATATGTCAAGGTAGTAACCGCATTTGGTTAAATAAAGACAAGATGAATAGACAATCTGTTCTGCAGCTGGTGGCAACAATGCATAAAAAAGGTTTAGGTGAGATTGAAATGATGTTTAAAGTTTGTAATTAGTTGCAGATTGCAGAATGACTGCTCAGTGTTTCAATTTACATCAAATGTTCCCTCCCTTTTTTAAAGTGGTGATGGACTTTCCTGTTTCTCTATTTCCGAAGTGGACTCTGTCGGCTATTAGCAGTGTTGTTTACATGTGTTAAATACTATAAAAATGTAAAAGTAACTAATTAAACTCAAGTACAGACCAGGGGAAAAGGCCAGAAATGTTTTAAGTGGGTGGGCCTACATAAAACAGGGTGGGCACAGTGTACTGTACAGTATGAAACTGCACGTCAAATTTCCAACAGAAAATATAACGCAGCACAAAGGTTCAAAACTGAAAATAACAAAACAGCCCATATACATCTCTGAAAAAACAAACAATAAAATGCCTATTTTCTGTCTGGTATAATGACAGTATAAGCATTATTTGAATTATTGTTTAGAAAAATGTCTGTAGTCACCTATAACACTTTACAATAAGCTTTCATTTGTTAACGTTAACATAAACTAACAATATACTTCTACACAATACTTCTAATGCATTGATTAGCATTAATGTTAATTTAACATTTACTAATACATGTGTAAAATTAAAAGTTGTATCTGGTAACATTAGTAACACAAAATAACAATGAACAGTTGTATTTTTATTAACTCATGTTAATAAAGCATAATAAATATTGTAACAAATGTTAGTTAATGCTTTAATTAACATTAACTAAAGTAAGTTTATTGTAAAATATTTCAATAAACATTGTAAACATTGAGGACCGTGCAAGTATGCAGTTGTTGTGGAGAACAGTATCTAGCACATTGTTTTTGTTTCTTTCTACAAAAGACGCATGTATTTAGCTAATCAAACACTGTACATATGCTAATATGACGTTTCAAACACGCTTGGCTTAGAAGTTTCCGATCGATAAATCCATCACCCGCAGATGCTCTGGTTTCAACTGTAGATGGTCCGGATTCATTGCTAAGACTTAGTTTCGATTGGGATATCCAATATATAGTTTTTTAAAAATGGACTGATATTTGTTTCAATATTTTCAAATTCAACTCCATAAACTCATGCATCTTACAATTATGTCTTTATGTCATAAACATAACATTGTGGGTGGGACTGACAGAAATAAGACAAATCAGCATTTTGACAAGTGTATGGTATGAGAGGGAAAATTAAGAAACTGCCTGCAATTGACCATGAAAATTGCAATTCTTTTTTTAACTAAATATATTAAGTTAGTGTAATAAGATGTTTGTTATTTTTATCGTTTAATAAATTACATCCATTTGGAAAATTACCAACTTCTCATTGGGTGGGTCACAATTAAAAGTAGCTTGTAGACAGTGGTGCAGACAGTGGGTGAACTATGCAGTTTGTGTGTAGTGAAAAAAAACCCTTATAATGTATTTAGCTTGAGTATAAGGGCCACAATAAACATACTGATCAACCTTGATCTGAAATTAATCGTAATCTGATACATTTATGGATGAATCAGGATATTCAGATAAAAATGTAGTGGGTTACACAGTGAAAAAGTAGGTGTTACAAACTAGGAGTCTGGACTAGGAGTGTTTGGAGGAGAGGGATTAAAAGTAAGAGGGTTATTTGATATCTACTGTAATAGAAAGACTTGCAGCAAGCTAACACATAAATAGGATAATTTTGATATCATGTTGACTTTAAAATGATCAATTTTCATTGCATTACAAATTTTAGGTGGAGACTATAGGGCTTGAGTATGAAATGAAGGGATTATTTAATTTCATAACCACTGAAAACACACAGATGTGTTCTGTGTTCACCATAGAGGGCTCATTTCTGAACCAACGCCACCAGTGCACATAATTGAGACCTCATGCAAAGACAGTTTATACCTCAATATGGAATTGTCAACATAGCCTGCCTGCAATAATGAAAAAGAAAAAAAAAATGAACGAAAGCAAAGCAAGCTACAATCTTTAGTACTTTATATTGAGGTAATCATGGAGACAATTAGACAGAAAAAATGGAAAGGCACGCTAGAGCCGTACACTTTAGCATTGCCCTCGAAAAGGAAGGGCACACAGATTATATATACCATTTTATACCAACGACCCCCATATTTAAAAACTGGCATTCTGTTATGCATTGTAGCGCACGAGCCGCTTAAGCACCTTTTGAGTAAATTAAAAGGCATAAATTCTGTTTAGCACTAATGCAGACGTCGTCTCCCCAGGCCTGCAAGTCTGAACACCCTCGGCTAAGGAGTGGGGCCCAGGAGGAGGGGGGTAAAATAGCCTTGAGTTGCTTTTCACCTTTCATAAATTCCAGGCTGGGGATTTCTGTACCAAAAAAATAATAATAATTTGCAGCCCGGTGGTTCATTGCTATTCTGTTTAGATTGATGGTGGTCATTTACCTGGCAGTGGAAGTTAAGTGCTGCTGTCACTCTTGAAGAGCATAATTGGGAGGTTCCACAGGTCAGTGGCGGTGACAGTTTTCTCTTTTGATTAGTGTTAGAGTGATAACAAAACTTACAACGCGAGTGATGTATGAGCAGGTGCAGATGGCAGCAGTAGATGCTCGGAGGGAGAGCAGAATAAAGCTCACCTGCCTCCTGAAGCCATGAGCCAGTCACCATCGTCTTCAGCACTTAAAGACACCTACAGTGTGATTATGCTTTATTTTTTTGAATTAGTTGTGTTTGCTAAGTCATCACTTTTACTATTGAACATATTTGGCGTTAGTAACTATAGATATTAAACTTTGGCCCTTAAATGCCCTGCATTGTGGTACAGACATTGATGATATTTCAGATCTATTGGTTGATCAGTTGTGGGTTTTTTAAAGGCTGATACAAATACCAGTGTCTAGAGAGTATTGTGGCTGATGGATGATATAATACTGACAAAAATGTTGCTTACAATTTAATTATATCTAATAAGACATACACACTATTTCTTATTTCAAATGAAAACTAGTTCATTGAAACACAAGTTAAACACACACACACACACACACACATATATATATATATATATGTATATATATATAATTTATTATATATATAATTTATATAATTTTTCCCCCATAGAGTATTATACATTTGTAAAAATCTAATCTGTCATATAAATGTTAAAAGTGCAAAATTGGTTTTTGCATTAACATAATATGACATGATAAAATTTGAGCATTTGTCTTTGATACTTTCTCCAAACCCTGCGATTTATGAAAGCTTTTCAGCTTACCTTGATCATAGATACACATAAGATCAGAGAAACCATAACTTCTCTTCTAGTCAAAGGTACTTAAAGCCTTGATCTGGTTTGAATCACATTTAAGATGGGTTTATCCGGTGCCTCGAGTTGACTTGATCTCCTTACAGTGATTGCATGATGTGAACACGGAACTTCAGAGGAAAAATCGTATCACCTTGTTCGCCCTGCTCTTTTGTAGAGCAACCTGCACAAAGATGTAATCAGTAACAACTCAACCTCACCATCTCTAGCCAAGACTAAGATACCCAGTATTAAGTGGGCATCCACCAGCAGCTTTAGTTTATTTTGGCTTGTCAATAATCCCATGTAGGCCTACTTTCTGAACCATCGCAAATAATTATTATTATCTCCTTTGCGTGCAGACAGATGCTGGAAAAAGTCTGTTTAACATAACAACTGTTATTTTATGCGGTCACAGTTAGCTGGGACAATGCTCAGATAGACTACCACTAGAAAAAAAATTGGATGTGGTCAACTGGAAATTCTATTAAGGCTTTGAATTAAAATGTTAAGATGTCCCACGTTACTGCAGAGTTTGCCGTTCATAGTGCTGTAAATCTCTGGAATATCCTGAGGCCACAGTGAATATCCCATCTGAGTGTTAATCAGCCAGGAGAGAATTGCAGACATTCTTTGTAAACTGTCAGCAAACAAGCGTCGTTTTGAGAATGACAAAAAAATAGTAAATGTTTTGCAACAGTACTTTTGATAGCATTTTCAAAGTAAAATGCAAATGTTAGAGTAAACCAAGAAAAATAGGCTCATAGTTACTTAATTCCCTCACATGTTACCATCTCTATTAGGTGTTATTTATTATCATGGCTTTAAAGCGACTGTTTTTCCCGAGCTAGATGAGAGCTCCTGAAGATGGAGAAGATGACGACGATGATTTTGTAGACGTGCCGGAAAAGGAGGGCTATGAACCTCACATTCCTGAACATCTGCGTGCAGAGTATGGTGAGTTTGTTCAGGTGCAGATCTGAAGCCTAATGCAATAAGACAAACCTGTTAATCAGTAAAGGGACTAGCTTTCTCTATAGGATCATGCTTAATCCAAATAATCTCTCATAGGATATCGCCACACTCTTATAGTGGCTGCTTCAAAGTAGATATGAGCTGAAAAGTCCTCTGGGGATTCCAGTTTGTTTGTAGTTTTGGGCTTAAAGCAGCAGGATATTTAAATGTGGAATTAAAAGCACAGTGGTGAGTTTAGTTAGAAATGGTTAGCTGTTGAAAAGCTTCAAAGCACAAAGGAAAGTTTGTTTATAGAGTTAAGGTGTAAAGCATGAAGTGTTTGTGCTCAAAGCAATGCACAACTTGTGGTAGTTGTGCTGTTTAGCTATGAGTTTTACTTTAAAAATAGGTATGTTGATAGTGAATTTAATTGGAAAAATCACAAGATTCATATATTAATAAATATGTTGCATTATTGTAAAAGTGAGTCTCATCGACTCTGTGAAGAACATTGCCAGGTCACAATTTTCTACAAAATAAATGGGGAAAAAATTAACAAAATATGACCCCCCCCAAAGAAATAATAATAAAGTAAAATAAATAAGACCATGAAATCTATTATTTTTGCATTGTGACATCATTTTATGACAATTAAGCTATTTTCCCCCTAGATTCTTTGTTTAAAGTATAAATTGTAAAATATTTATACATCACAATAGTATTTGGAATTTGTTGTACTGCCTTTAATTTATTTATAGGTACAAAAATCATTGTAAGAAAAATTACTTCATTACAGTAATAAGAATCTCCATTTGAAAATAATTTGGGGTCAAATGTGAGAGTAAAATAATATCACATTCAGTGTAAAAACAGCTGCTCATTTAAAAACTCTGATATCTTTTTGAAAGGTAATAAATTGCTTTAAGCCTGGTATAAATCAATTATAACCTGGGGCCGCCAATAGAAATCTGTTTTGACAGCTGACTATTTGTACATGCAAAAGATTCTTGTCCATCTGGGCAAGGACAGCTCTATTGACAAGAAGCCACAGGCAAAAGACAGAGGTCAAGCAATAGGTCAGACACAAGCTAAAGAACACAGATTATATTTGACCTCAAATCCTGTCCAATTTTAAATTTACTGTCATGAAAATAATCAATTTCAGTGGCTAATGGGATTTATGCAGTTCTTGTAGGAACAGCATGCACTTTGGAAGTAGTTTAGTAATTTCCAGATTTTCCTGGTAATGAGCTCCACGCTGCTCACTAATTATGAGATGCAATATGATTTCACCAGACTCTCCTGTTCTCTGTCTTCATTTATTTCCTTTCAGCATCTCTAAACAGGCACTAACTGAAGATTCATTAGGATATAATTTCTACAGCTTCACAGAGCCAAGCTGCTTTCTGCAGTAAAGTATGTAATGATCAGTGCACTGGCCATGCCAAATTAACAATGCAATGGTGTTAATGAGCGCCCATTAGCTTGGAGTGGTAATTTACAATGCTCACCTCACAGGCCTCTGTGCGCTAAACTGTTCACCTACAAAACCGTGTATTCATCTAAGACCGGATTATTCTGAATTGAATTTAATCATATATCATACATATACCAATACAAACTAGATGTTTAACATTTTATTGTACTTTGTTACAGCATTACTATGTGGTTGTGAGTTTTCATTTTTTATTTATTTATTTTTTTCTGCCCAAGTCAAAAGATCCCATGCCCAGGTCTTTATGATCACTTAGAAAAGTAATAATTTTCTTTAACAGTGCACATTCTGAAATATCCTTCATGTAGGACAACGAATGCAGGATGTGCTGAAGTTTAATACGGTTGTTCTAGTCCTTAAACCCCAAATATGAGCAGTAGTAATATTGATGCTTACCTTAAACTAGTAATGTTGTACCACAGTAAATCAGATGTGAGGCTCATTTGGAGACATGTATGTCATTTTTCTATTGAAAAATGTGAAAAGATGTTTTTTTTTTGGGTGCACTCTACATGTGGAGGAATATAGATTGAAAATGGAAATTGTGCATTGAGAGTGCAACCATTCGCAGTATAATACTCCTAAAACGGGACTCAAAAAAAAAAAAGTATTCTGATTTACTGCCAAGTCTGATTTACTCCATCATTTCAAATTTATCAATCAGTGCAAGTTACCATCAGCAGTTTCATTTAATATTACATCAACCTGTCACAGGATTCGAGCTCATCCCTGGCTAATCCTTCCCTTTCTTTTTTCAAAATCACATCAGCTCGCTCATCCAGAGAAACACTTTAATTTGAAAAGCATTTTGTCTGTTCCTCTCCTCCTTTCTCTCTCACCGTTCCTTTCACAACATAGCTTTTATCTATCCCTTTATCCCAGCGTTCCTGTCAGGACGTTATCTCTCTCAAAATTTACATTTTAATTACAAGGCCTGTTGAACTCAGGAAAATCAATAACGCCACCATTGGCAGCTCAACTCTATGTCTACTGCTGGGCCTCTCTATTTCCTCTTATTGATTTATCTCTTTAGCACCTGCAACTTTATTGCTTCAGACAAATAGCTACCATTTTGGTCAATTTGAACCAAAAAAGAAAGCTTTTGGTCGTATTTCATGATTTTGCACACCCGAGTGCCACTTTGATGCAGTAAGTCATTGAAAGGGAGTGAACCTGGATTAACTGTATACACTGGATGACTACAATCAGGATTCTCATCCTGTCCTGAGACCATAATTCATTTTCTTTTGTAACCCACTACATCTGTTGAACTGAACTGCTGGTTTTACCAAGGCATCACTGTTGCTTTTGCTTATATTTAGAGTTAGTGATTTGATAAAGTAATCAGCACATAACTAGTCCTGCCTTGCAAACATTTGTGCTAAAGAAATAAGTGATCAGTCTTGAATTTGCAGGAGGACAATAAAATAGGCAAATCAATCAATCAATCATAAGTTTATGAATTGGAGGAACCTGAACCATATCTAGAGACCAGAATATTAGACTATAAGCAAGTATGTTTTTTTCTGAACTGCAAACTAATTTTATGAACCGAGATGGGCACAAATACATGAAAATGTATTTAAAATTAAACAAAGTACCTGAATTATTTATTATAAAAATACAATACAGTATTTTATATCTTATCTTATATCTAAAATACAGAAAATTCATATAAATGCAGATTTATGCTACAGGCTCTGTGTAGAATTGTACAGTAAGAAAGTTATTTCCCTTAACCAGGAAATTAACGTTCTTAGAATTGACAGACAGTTGACCCTGAGAGGTCAAGTAAATACTTACAGCGGATCTAAATATTTATAATTAATTATAACTAGTTATGATTAATTATTCATATTTCCCCGTGAGCTGATTCGCTACAAATTGGTCATTCAATGAGGTATCTATATATTAGGCTGTGTAGCTGGCTAGTGAACTTGCTAATAGTTAGACTAGTTTACTACCTGGCTGCTGACTAGTTTAGATTTCCTCACTGCTGATACACATCACATCTTACCAGAAATTTTGACTTGGTTTTGACAGAATTGACTCGAATCCATGTTCAGTTCCATAGATTCTGATTAAATATATTTCCAATTCTTATTATTACAAAAAAAAAAAAAAGTTTGTAACACAGATCATGTGTGATTACTAGAGACTGTTTTCAGTAGTGTTGGTCAGTTGTAAAGTACAAAATTTATGATATATATAATATATGAAAAATAAGTCTTAATGTTCTTGAAGGCATAATATTATTATGTACAGCTGTATTTACTAATTTTTGTGAAAATTGTGGAATGAGATTAGTATAATTGATCTTAAGGAATTTTAATTGAATCACTAGTTTCAAATATAAAAATGAAGCAAAAAGGAACATCAGTCAGATAAAGAATATAATTTTGTGCAAGAAAATTCTGCAACCTAATTGGTTGGCACAGTGTATTTGATGTTTTCTGAATAAATAAACAAATACCAAACCTAGATGTGTTTAATGTATAAATTATATTTAGATTTTTTTTCAAAGACTTTAAAATATGAAAAAAAGTATTTGATATAAGCATTTCAGATAAACGTATCTAAATGTACTGCCTATTATGTAGATTTTTTACTTTTGGAAACCATATTTGTTGACAAGAAATAAGAGCAAACCAGGCTCCTCATAAACCCACAATGGCCATTTTTTGAAAAGTGATCAGGTGTCCCTTAATCAGTATTATGAGGAATTCGCCGTACTTGTTTTTAATTTCATCTCGTTCTGGAAGCTAGAAAGCTTAAGTGTGAGTCTTAGATCTTTGTGTCACTCCTAAGACTACCTTAAGCCCCTGCACACTCCTGCTGGAACCCCCTCAGTCCATTAGACTACAAGTCTGAATGATGTGTTCTGAATATTTGACCTTACGTAACATCATATAGTTTCCTTCTTCCTCTTGTATCTAATAGGACTTGATGAAACTCCCTCAACGTCAACCTCTGGGGCCAAAGCCAAGCCATCAAAACCTGTTCCTCTTGTGTCCTCCAGTCTCTCTCGACTCAAGAGGAAGATGTATGATGAAGAGCAGGACCCCACCTATGCTGCTGCAACGCTGCGTGTGCTCAAACAGAGGATTCATTCTACTCCTTCTACAAGGTGATTTGTACTTCCATGCCCTATTTTATCAGGTAACATAGACTGGTATACACTAGGGCTGAAAAAAAAGAAAGAAATGGAATGTTAGCAGAAAAAAACTAAAATATTTGGAAATGATCAAATGCTCAAAATGATTAAAATAACAGAATGTTTTCAAATATAGTGAGAGAAATCTGAGAAAACAAAACATTTTTAAACGTTTTTCTTATTTTTATATGGAAATATGGAAATATTCATAAAAATATATATTTCATATAGTATTTAAAATACAAAATAAAATTAAAAAAATGAAACTTTTTTTTTTTATTATTGTTGTTGTTGTTTTGGATATTGAAGTGTGTTCTGGTTGTTTCAGTATGTCTGGGGGCTCTACTGAGGTCGCAGTGTGCAGCAGTGACCATGGGGGCTTAAACAAAGACTATGCCTCTGTTAAGGCCCCTGTCGTTCCGTTTGGTGTGGATCTTTACTACTGGGGAGAGGAGCAGCCCACTGCTGGCAAAATCATCAAGTACAGTCTCATTCATAAGAAACATTGAGAATGTTTTACATAACACATTCATCAGTCTCTTTTTGAAGTATGAATGGATTGTGATATGTGATGTAGCCACTAGAGAGCACCATTGTATGCACACTGACTTCAGATCAACTCCTATTCCTCAAAATTAAATGATGAAAACATTGATCTGGAGGTTTAATTTTTTTACATCCTAATACAAGATATACAATATATTTTTTTCTGCAGTCATGGAAGACCTGTAAATTGTAATTTTAAGGCCTGGAAAAGTCATGGAAATCTACAAAAGTCCTGAGAAAATCCATACTATTCTATACTATAGAAATTCCATGATTTCTATACTAAAAATACATTTTACAAGTTATGCTCACTCCTAAAATATTTCCCCTGCAAAAAATGCACTTTGTGAAGGCAGATTCTATATGAAGGTTTTTCAAAAATTCAACTGTCAAAGATCACACATTGATAGAGTTTGTGCAGTTCCTTTACTAAGACCCTGTCCTCACTGGTTTTTAGGAACGCATCACAGCACCAGTTCTGGGTGCCTCATGAGGTGGAGGAGGAAGTGTCTGCAGAGATGAAGTCTAGAATTATCACCTTTGCTGGGAAATGTAAACCTGTGGAGCACAAGTGCAAAGCACCAATGCCAAATGGATCGTTGTGTGAACGCCAAGACAGAGTAAAGGTCAGAAAAGTAACAATAACGATGCCCTACAAAATACACAGAAGAGATGTAATACTGAATATTTTTGCCCATATTTAGCTGTGTTTGGTAGAATGGTAGAAACATATTTTTATTTCATTGTGTAAATAAATAGATATAAGCAGGACACTGATTGAATAAACGGCTGAATTAAATGAGATGTAATTTCAGTGCCTGTTCCATGGACGCATTATCCCTCGGGATGAGCTGGGCAGGCCTGTTAGCCCAGAAGATGCACTGCGATTGGAGAAGGAAAAGAGGAAGGGCGAGGAGGAGCAGCCAGGTTAGACCATTCATGCAACCTATTTAACAATATTCAACTTAACAGTGATAGTTACCTACAGGGATAGTTTACCCAAAAATGAAAATTGACTATTCACTAGGTCTGGGGTGACAAACTCCGGTCCTGGAGAGCCACAGTCCTGCAGAGCACAGCTCCAACCCTGATAAAAACTTACCTGCCTGTAGTTTTTTTGTAACCCTTCAGACCTTGATTAGCATGCTCAGGTGTGTTTGATTAGGTTGAAGCAAACCTCTGCAGGACTGTGGCTTTCCAGGACCGATGTTCGCCACCACTGTACTAGGTCATTTACTAAGTACTGTGGATAAATTTTATAGTTTTTTTGGTCATTCTGAAGCATGATAGTAGGTATGTTTCTACACCTATACTACATTTCTATAAACGTTAAATGTTGCAGTCCAATTCACATATTTGTTTACATGTGCTTTACATGTATTTCAAACAAAACCCAGTCACCACGGGGAAAGCCACCATAATGATGTCACTAGGGCCTTGATGACATATCTAAAAAGAAAGCTGACATTTAAGTCAGAAGAGCTTTTTAGCTAATATTTAATAAATATTCATTCTGCTCCGACGACCATGTTGTTAATTGTATGTTAATTGTATGTCAACATACCCATCACGTCTCTATGCATGTGGGCAAGGTATTTTTTGAATGTGATATGATGAAACTGAGATGTTTACATTATGTCTTTTCAGTCCAATTAAGCCATCAATCCCAATGCAAATTGATTATTTGGCTGCATGTAAATATATGGAAAAGAGCAGCATGAGAATTCTGCAAACTATCTCATGTTTTTGCAGGTGTACGACTTCCATCTGTGGACACAAAATCAGTCAATTCTGAAACTCTTAAGGCATGTTTAGGATCATGCACTCTTGCCAAATTAATATTGCACACCAAACCTGAAAGCTTGATAATCTTCTTTCATGTTTTGTCAACCCAGTGCTGATGACCCCAAGGCCTTTTCTACACTGTCAAAAGCCCTTTAGTAACCGGTAGCCAGGCGAAATCCTAGACCTCCATTACCCACAGTTCCTTCCTTATAACACAACAGTCCAATCAGGTGTCTGTGAGACTCTAGGAAGAGATGAACTGATGGAATCCCATCCAAGTCATCATCAATACACAGATAATAGGACAGGCTGCATCTCACTCTGCCTCTCAGCTTTTCTCTTTTCTCCTTCTCGCTCTGGTTTCTTTTCTGGAAAGGTGCTAAAAGCCAATTAAGTAGCGTCTCCATGCTGTCACTGGAGCGTCGGATGTGCTTTCTTTGGCCACAGTTTACTTGTTAACAAACAGTTATCTGAGGCAACTGACTTCGGGGGCCTGCTGACCACTGGCTTGTGAAATAGCATCTTTTGTAACTAAGTAAGCTATCGATCCCCGCGACTCCATCACGCCCTCTCCCCGTCGACATGCCGGTTGTCAGGGTAACCACAGGACACCCCACCCGTTCTCCTGCGCTGTCAGTGTGCTCATGATGTCCATCAGTTCACTGACTGAACACTTGCTCCCCTGCTGCGCCATTGATTTCTGCTTCAGGCTTCAGCCTTCCCAAAATATTTCAGTCGAACGTGATTCTGAACACTGTATGTGTTTCAGTGTGTCTAACATATGTCTGTCATTTGTGTCATTATGATACTGCTCATACTTGTAAGTGTGAACTCAAATCTAACACCTGTGCTGTTGCTTTTCTAAGCGCTCAGACTTGAAATTTGATAAAGCGAGTGAAAAAATTCCCTATGATTTACACTGAAGGAGGGGCCGAATCCATATCTAGAGACAAGAAAATCATACACTGTCAAAAGGAATCTGTCTGGGACAGTACCATTTCAAAAGGGACCATTTATCTAATATTACGTTTGAGGTACTGATATGAAGGCTAAATAAAGTACAAAAGTGTAGTTTTGGAAATTGTACCACCCCGTGACAAGTTTTGTACCATTTTTTTTTTCAGAGAGTGTAGAGGCGTGAGGGTGCAAGACTCTAACAACAGCATAGCAACAGACTAATAACCATTCAAAACGCCTTAGTAACTGCATAGTGATGCCCTGGCATCCCCTACATAACACCCATTTTAAAGGGGTCATGAACTGAGAAATCAAAATTCGCTTGATCTTTTGATATATAAGAGGTCATTGTGCTATAAAAACATTCTGTAATTTTCAGAACTTAAATCTTTCTCATTAGTCTAAAAACAGCTTATATTGAAGCCAATCTGCCAAAACGACAGGTTGTGGAATGTGTCACTCTATGACGTAATAGTGTGGCTAAACACCGTCTTTGCAGAGAAAGATCAATGCCTGCTTCTACATCGCTGCCTGTTTAGCCCCGCCCACAGATTAACACATGTAGTGTAAATAACAAGAGGCGAACACGGGTCTACGTAGAAACCAAACGATAAACTTTATTTGATCAACTTTATTTTTAAAGGGGTGGTTGACTGTTTTTTTTCTAGGCTTGACTGTGTTTATGGGGTGCAGTCTAACATGTGTTAATGCTTCGTTTAAAAAAAAAACAACAACATTATTTTTCACATAATTTACCTTTATTCCACACCACACTGTCCCTTCTCCTATAAATGCACTGATCATTTCCTGCATTTATGAAGCCCCTCCCTCAGAAATACGCAATAGGCTCAGATTGGTTAGCTGGTCCAGTGTGTTGTGATTGACTAAACCGCCTCTAGTGCACGTCTAAATATCCCGCCCCTCACCCCAGTGCCATGTGCTCTGGTTGTATTGTAAACAATGGCGTCGTCTATATTGCTTATCAATTTGAGCCAGATTGAGACCCAGAGAATATTAGGCCCTGTCCACACGAACGCGGTTATTTTTAAAACCGCAGCTTTTTCTACGCGGTTTGGCCATTTGTCCACACGCAAATACAGCACAGGTTCACTGAAACCGAACATTTTTGAAAACGCCTGCCAGGGTGAAGATTTTCAAAAACTCCGGTTGCAGTGTTATCGTGTAGACAGCGAAACCGGAGTTTTTGGCTTGTGACGTCGGAGCCTGTGCTGTTATCTCCACCTACTGGAAACTTTTTCAGGCTTCTGATTGGCCAACATGGTTTTACGGTTGAGATTATATCGCCACCTGTTGGTTAGGCATGCTCTTGACAGTGCGTCATAGCATGCGTTTGCGTTTTCGTGTGGATGGAGATTTTTTTTTAAACGGAAGAAGGAAAAACTCCCCGTGTACGTGTGGACATGGCCTCAGTCATTACAACATTACAATGTAGCGGGTACATCGGGTGTTATGGGAAGTGTCTGCGGTTCCGGTTGTCGTAATTAATGCAGCCTAGAAATCCTTTAACGGATTTGAATATTAAAAATGTGTTGGTGTGTTATGTGTAAGCCAGGTTAAAGAGATGGGTCTTTAATCTAGATTTAAACTGACAGAGTGTGTCTGCCTCCCGAACAATGTTAGGTAGGTTATTCCAGAGT